CAATAGTACTCCCTACCCGGAAGTTCTATTCCCAAAACAGAACAATATCCATTCGACTGGATTCAAGTGGATTCAAGTGGATTCAAGCGGATTCAAGTGGATTCAAGTGGATTCAAGCGGATTCAAGTGGATTCATGGATTCTGCTGTTTCCCCCTTGTATCAATCAGTATACAAAACTACTTGAGAGTGACATATATATAAGGATATATTTGCATGACAAGATGTGCAAGTTTTTTTGAACACAGCTGTAGATTGTCATTAATAATTGTAGTTTAAATACTTATCAGAAAAAAAATCTATTTTTTTTGAATTCTAAGATAATTTTATGAAATGAGTTAACTCATTATATTTTGAGATAATACGTGTGCATCAGAATATCTACTACAAGTTGATGAAGTGTCTTAACGATTCGTTTTTTTCATCTGTTATTTAGTCCCGTTTCTAATCGAAAACGATCTTAGCAGGTCAAAAATTGTCGTACTTCTTATAAAATATAGCAAAATAAATTGTTTTCATTAATTCATATTGATTTAAATCCGAAGAATACACATTGTTCACACAAAAATAAGACAATTAATCAAATATTTGAAGAAAAACTGTTTATGATGATTGATATGCTTCTGTCATATTCAGATAAATGTCATTATTATTTCCACCGATAGCTAACACTTTTCCATTTGTTAATAAGGATGTTGTATGACGAATTCGTGGGATAGTCATACTGTAAGTAATTGTCCAAGTTTTTGATGATGGATCATATAATTCAGCACTATTTAGATAAAAGGTACCATTATGTCCACCAGTAATTAACACTTTTCCATCAGCTAATATAGTTGCTGTATGATATTCTCGTGCTGTATTCATATTATTAATTAATGTCCAAGTTTCTGTTGATGGATCATACAATTCAACACTTTTTAGCTGACCTTCGCCATCATTTCCACCAGTAATTAGTACTTTTCCATTTGATAATACTGATGCTTTGTGAAAATATCGTGGATTATTCATACTACAAGTAACTGTCCAAAGTCCTGTTGATGGATCATATAATTCAGCATTATTTAAAATAGTTATAGCATCATATCCTCCAGTAACTAACACTTTTCCATTTTTTAACATAGATGCTGTATGATACTGTCGTCGTGTATTCATTAAACCAGTGAGTGTCCAATTTCCTGTTAATGGATCATACAGTTCAGTACTAGGTTGAATAATACCATTATATCCACCAGCAATTAATACTTTTCCATCAGTTAATATAGTTGCTGTATGATATTCTCGAGCTATATTCATATTATTGATTAATATCCAAGCTCCCGTTGATGAATCATACAACTCAGCACTGTTTAGCTGATGTTTATCATTACTTCCACCAACAACTAATACTTTTCCATTTGTTAATATGGATTCTGAGTGATGAAATCGTGCATTATTCATATTACCAGTAATTGTCCAAGTTCCTCTTAATAAGTTATACAATTCAGCACTACTTAAAACAGATTTATTGTATCCACCGGCAATTAAAACATTTCCATTTGGTAATATGGATGCTGTGTGGGAATCTCGTGCAATATTTATGCTACTAGTATTTGACCATCCTAAAATATATATTGAATATGTTCAATTCAGTAGTGTCAAACTTGAAAGTTGACTAATTCATTCAATGACACTAATGTAATCAGTTCATGAAAATTGACTTATCTGACATAAAATAGTATTACCTGATCTGTCTAAATTTGTCAAAGACAACGGTAAACACACTGCTTGTGGTGAACAACACGAATTAATAATACAAACAGAAGTGTTTGATGTACAGTCATATGTAATATTGTTACATGGTTCCAAAATCGAGCATGGAATATCGGGTGCACAGTAGCTACTATTATTCAATGTACGATAGTCAAAGTAAGACGTAGACGATGAAATATAGATATTTTTATCACTTGACGACACATCACATTGGGATACAGAACAGTTTGATGTTGATCGACATGCAGAATGAAATGATTGGAATGATGTAAGTTTAGCATCAAAATCTTTCTTGTTATGTGATACATTCAATGTCTCTGCAGTTTCACCTAATAATAATCCTGTTTTTATGGGATACTTAGATAGAAAAATTTTGAATTTGTATACCTTTCAAACACGACATAAATATAGACAAAGACAAGATGATTAACAATTGCATGACAACTGTTTAATAAATATTCTAGCAAAAAATAAAGATTTTATATATTTTACATGTTCTTTCATATATCACTGGCTATCGAGATAGAGTAAAAGTGAAGGTATGCATCAAGCTCTGAATTCAAAAATATTTTCGAGTAATATATGATTATTTAAAATATATGATTCTTAAGAGTGGGTCCAGAAGAAAATCGACCAAATTATAAGGATTCTCATACGTTAAAATTTTGATATTGAAATGAGGTGTACAATTTGGAAGCCCGTGAAAAGTTATGCTTAAATCAAAATTTTTAGCTACTTCTGAAAACCCTACCAAGAGCTATGAATCCTCCTTTGAACACATTTTCAGGTACTATTTGATAAATTTAGATAAAATATAGAAAATACTGTTCAATATATTTTACTTTTGAGAAGTACTTTTTGTTACTTTCAAATAATGTAGTTATTTTGATTAGATCTATTAGATACACTCCCATAGAGCAGGCATTTAGAATATGAATGCTGACCTAAGACCTAAGATGCAATTTTTCACTTGAAATACATGAAAAATGATCACGTTTTTATGAAGATTTCTATATTTTTGACCCATAATTATATCGAGATGGTTGCCTCTCAAAAATCTTTTAGCATCAAAAGATAGTCCGTGACAAACTGCATCTTTTCATATATAAACCAATACGATTCCTCTTGGTATGATTATTCAATTTTTCAATCCGAATATGATCATCAAACGACTTTTGTAGTTTTACTCATTTTTTTTGACCGATTTCCAGCGATTTTTGCTCATAATCGCTGCAAATTATATTGAAATAAATATCATATTTGGGTTAAAAAATTGAATCAGTAAACCAAACGCTATCTTATTAGTTCATATATAGAAAAATGTTGTTTTTCACAGGCTATATTTTGGTGTTAAAAGATTTTTGGGAGTGAATTGTTCTGGTGTACTATTCAGCTCAAAAATGTGAAAACATTCGATAGAAAAAGGTATTTTTCTCACGCTATTTTAGTAAAACACAATACAGTAGGCACGATTTACATTTGAGAATCGTGTTCTAACATAGCACGTCTAACAGACCTGATCAAGATACGATAATTAAAAGGAAAAAGTGAGACCTTTGATGGGGTTATATGTTGACATCAAGTGTAAAACAGATTCTTTTACAATTCATCAAATCTATAGAATAATACCTGATGGTGTATTCAAAGAATCCTTTATAATTTGGATATAGGGATAACTTTTCACGGGCTTTCAAATGGTGCACCTCATGTCAAGAGCAAAATTTTGACGTATGCAGGCCTGATTGTTGGTTTCATGGATTCTCTCTTAATTTGAGATTGATTTCAGTGTTAACGATGCCTATCTATAATCATGATCTCCTCAGTAATATGAATACCACAGTCAAAATCAAGTATTATTACATGAAAAAATTGGACTTTTTAAAAAACAAAAATCTGAAAATTTGTAAAAATCAGAAAGTTTATAGAAAAACATTATTGAATCTTTGAAACATTAACAAATGATTTTCGAAAAAACTTTTATAAAGAACGAATCCTCCAATGATACATACCTTGTTTTACAAAAAGATAAAAAATAAATGATTTTGCTTGCTCTGTTTATTCATGTTCTATTATCAACATTCACATATTCGTTGCACAACGACATACAATACTACTGATAACATTTTACACCCTCATACCCTAAATAAGGTATATCAAACACATGAAGGACTAGATATGTAACCATTTCTCTATTATTTATGTTGACTTTAAAGTAAATACGTTAGAAAATTTATTTGACACGATTGAACTATCTTTTGTATTGTGTTTAGCTTGATGATTAATATATGTTCAATAATTAATCTTTTTATTCCGTTATAATTCGTTTACATCTTGTGATAAAATTGTGAATAAGATACCTATCTTTTCTCTTATATATTTTATAATTTTAATTTAACATCGCAGAAATTGGAATATTCAGTAAATTAAATTAATATTTTAATTGTCGAAAAAATATAAACTTCATCGAAATGTTTTGTGAAAGAATAAGCATGTAATTCAGTGACAATATATAGAAATAATCAGCCATAAAATAATATTGTCTAAAGAATTTCAAAAAGAGAGATTTTAGCGCTTATTGGTCAAGTCTATTGCAAAATAAAACATACGCATAAAAATCAAAACGGTATAAGGTGAGGAAACATTAAATAGCATCTCTTAATAAAAAATGACACATTTCATAATTCTAAAATAAATAAACTATCCAGCGTTTATCAAAAGTTTGTTTTCAGCCTTTTGTCGATAACACATTATTACATTCTAGACAGTCAAGATCTGCAAAAAAACAATGTGTTTATACACGTTAAAAATGAATGAGTC